TTCAAAGAATAATGTAGAAAATGGGGAAAGACAATATTGATTAGGTTACACTCATCACAGATCAAGTCAAATGGACAAACAACTCCAATCACAGAAGAATACCATCCTAAGTCTCACCCATGCGGTCAAGACCCACCTACAGGACTACAGTGTGTGCTGTGCGAAAATGCATGACGAGTCATATACCAAGAACTCCACAGAAAGTGAGAACTACGATGGAACCACAGACTCGTACACATGATAAAAATAGAGTTTGATCCTGAATGCAAATATCATAACGTCATATACGATGCATACAAAAATTTTTATTTATTTATTTATTTTTATTTATTTATTTATTTATTTATTTTAAATTTCAAATGCAAACTTAATACTCAAAATAAAAACTAAAAAAAATAACTAACAAACAAAATGCACCACACACACATTTATCACATACATGATATGAAATGAATAAGTGCAGATATGATAAATGCATGAATATGCATGAATTCATGATCAGATAGACAAACAAATACCAATAGCTGTCCGAAGCGACTCAAACCTCATCTCATCTAGTGGTTTCGTAAGTAGATCGGCTAATTGGTTGTCAGTAGAAACATGATCTAAGGAGACAACATGTGTTTCAACAAGTTCACGAATAAAATGATGTCGTATGTAAATATGTTTTGTTCGAGAATGTTGAATAGGATTCTTAGAAATATTTATAGCACTGGTATTATCACAGAAAACAGTCATGGTCCCTTGATTAATCCCATAATCACTCAGCACCTGCTTCATCCAGAGAAGCTGAGTGCAGCAACTTCCAACTGCTATGTATTCGGCCTCTGCCGTGGATAGGGATATGAAATTTTGTTTCTTACTTAACCAGGCTACTAGATTGCTATCCATGTAGAAACAGCCCCCAGAAGTACTTTTTCTATCATCTGCATTCCCCGCCCAATCGGCGTCGAAGTAGCCAGCCAAATCAAGATTAGAATTTCTGGAATAGAAAATCCCGAGATCAACAGTACACTCACATATCTAATGATGCGTCTAACAGAGCTTAAGTGTGATTCTTTGGGATCTGCCTGAAATCGAGCACACACTCCAACACTAAAAGCAATGTCATGTCTAGTAGCTGTGAGATAGAGAAGACTACCTATCATGCTTCGATATAGAGAAGGATCTACACTCTTACCTGAAGGATCACGACCTAACTTCAAGCTAGTACTCATAGGTGTCCTAGTATGCTTCTTACTATCTAACCCAAACCGCTTAGCTAGATTCTTTGCATACTTAGACTGTGAAATAAACAAGCCATCCTCAGTCTGTTTCACCTGAAGTCCAAGGAAATAACTCAACTCACCAACCATACTCATCTCAAATTCTTGTTTCAAACGCTCGGCAAACTCATATGCTAAAGACTCAATAGGAGAACCAAAAATGATGTCATCGACATAAATTTGAGCGATTGTGATAGTTTCTTCAATGTGTCTAATAAATAAGGTCCTATCAGCACCACCTCGAGAGAAACCATGTTCCTCAAGATATGACGTAAGTCTCTCATACCAAGCTCTAGGAGTTTGTTCAGACCATAGAGTGCTTTGTGGAGTTTGTAGACATAGTGGGGAAACTTTGGATCAACAAATCCTTTTGGTTGTTCCACATAGACTTCTTCTTGAAGAAGTCCATTCAAGAAGGCACTCTTAACGTCCATTTGATGTAGCTTGAACCCTAAGGTACAGGCAACAGCAAGCATAATCCGAATAGACTCAAGTCGTGCAACAGGGGCAAAAGTCTCATCAAAATCAATTCGCTCAACTTGAGTATAACCCTGAGCAACTAATCCGGCCTTATTCCTAGTTATAGTACCTTGGTCATCTGTCTTGTTCTTAAAGATCCACTTAGTACCAATAACGTTACAATTCTCAGGTCTGGGTACTAAGATCCACACATTGTTTCTAGCAAATTGATTGAGTTCCTCATGCATTGCATTCACCCAACACTCATCACTAAGGGCCTCTTCGACTTTCTTAGGCTCTACCTGTGAAACATAGCTAGTATATGCTAGATTGTTCAGTACTCTCTTACGAAGCCTCGTACCTTCATCCAGATCCCCAATGATATTATCCTTAGGATGATTAGACTTGACCCTAGTTGATGGTTCCTTAGGTATTATGTCTTGATCTTGTGGATGTGTTTCCTTTTCAGGAGTTTCAGGAATCTTAAGAGATGATTCAGGCACAAGCGGTTCAGTAGGATCACTAGACCTTATAAGATTACCATTTCTATCATAATTTTCAACATTCTCCCCCTCACTCACACCATCATCTATCACAACATTGACTGACTCCATCACAGTACGAGTACGTGAGTTATATACTCGGAATGCTCGACTATTTCTAAAATACCCTAAGAAGATTCCTTCGTCACTCTTAGATTCAAACTTACTCAAGTTCTCTCTATCACACAAAATGTAGCACTTACTCCTAAACACACGAAAGTATTTGACAGTAGGCTTTTTACCCTTTAGAATCTCATATGGAGTCTGATCGATTTTGGGTCTAAGGTAGACTCTATTGATTATGTGGCATGCAGTATTAACAGCTTCTCCCCAAAAATATAAGGCTAGCCCCTTGTCATGAAGCATGGCTCTAGCCATATCCTGAAGAACATGATTCTTCCTTTCAACCACCCCATTTTGTTGAGGAGTGATAGGGGAAGAGAACTCATGTAGTATCCCTTCATCCATGCAGAAGCTCTCAAGATTGAAATTTTCAAACTCTTTTCCATGATCACTTCGCATTCTGGACACTTTGTGATTGAGTTCATTATTAAGCCGTTTACACAAAGATTTTATAAGGTCACATGCATCAGATTTTTTCCTAAGCAATTCTACCCATGTGAACCTCGAGAAATCATCTACCACAACCAGAATATACCGCTTACCTCCTAGACTCTCAGTCCTAGATGGTCCCATTAAATCCATGTGTATCAATTCCAGGGGTCTTTTGGTCAAAATTTTAGAAGTCTTTTTATGGATTCCTTTAATTTGTTTACCCAGTTGACATGGTCCGCACACAACATTTTCACTAGGACCTATTTTAGGCAAACCATCTACCAACTCCTTTTTAGCCAGTTGTACTAGACTCTTATAGTTTAAATGGCCCAATCTTTTATGCCAGAGTTCACTCACATCAATTTTTGCACTCCTACACACATAGTTAGAATTAGGTAGGACTCCATAACAGTTATTAGACGTTCTAACCCCTTCAAGGACCACCCCATCGAATGAATCATACACGGTACATCTCTTTTCCAAAAAGCTAACCTCAAAATCAGCATCACAAATCTGACTAATACTTAACAAGTTCGACTTTAAACCTTCCACATAAAGCACATTTGAGATCACAGGTAATCCATGTATTTGTACAGTACCTTTGCCAAAAATAGGTGCATAGCCCCCATCTCCAAAGGTAACCATACCCCCATTGCATTTATCAAGAGTAGTGAATAAAGTCTTATTACCACACATATGTCTAGAACAAGCACTATCAATGTACCACATATTGAAATCTTGGGCTTTTAATGCAACATGAGCAACATAGCAATTTACCTGACCTGAAAGTCCAGCTAGATCCTCCTTTTTAACCCAAACTTTCTTAGATGACTTGGTACTCCTAGTCAGCCTAGTAAGCATCTCAATCAAATGACTAACCTGATTAGTCAGAAAACTGACATGACTTGGAATATTCTGATTTCTACGCTCATTGCCTAACTTATAACATCTAGGCCTAGTGTGTCTTAGAGCTCCACAGTGGTGACAGGTGGGAATGAACTTAGGCTCAAAGGTACGTGTCTGTGGGTGTTTAGGCATAAAATTTCTACGTGATTGATGACTTTGTTCCCTCGAAACATTCTTACCTTTATTTGGACTGTTGATAGCGTTAGACTTCCTAGAGGCAAAAATGAATACAGTTTTAGATGGACCAGCACCATGTGTATTACCCTCAACATATCCTAGACCTTTCCTATCTCCCGTAGGCTTATTCGTTCCCAAAATATCATCCAATTTCTTAGTTCCACTTATGAAAGTCTGAAGATGAGCATTAGATTTCTCCAATTCACTAGTTAATATCTTAACCTTGTCTTCCAACTTCTCATTAACACATTTTAACTCGCTGACACTCTTAAGTGAATTCTGGAGATTACTAGCATGTCTCTCTTTTTCTCTTTCAAGTTCATCAACCTTTTTGAGTAGGGCTTTATTGATCTTTTTGATTTTAAGACTCTCCTTGAACAAGAGTTGATAGGCCTCATGTATGTCTATGTCATCCTCATCCTCATTACTTAAATTATTGTTGTGAAATTCTTCATCAACCTTGTCACTCTCCTTATCAGATTCACTCTTAATAGTCGACAAATATGCCATATAGTTCCCTTCATCTTCACTACTAGATGACTCCTGCCTATCACTGGTCTCAGACTCGTTATCAGTAAGTGAAACAACTAAGGCCTTACCCTGCCCTTTTTTTATTCTTCTTATAACTAGGGCACTCATTCCTATAGTGACCTATACCTTGACATTCATGGCACCTAACCAAACGTGGTTTATCACTAGAACTTTTATTGTTAAACCTTTCAATTTTTCTTTTGAGAATCTGCTAAGGACCCCACTTTTTCTATCCTGAGGCTTTCTCTTCATGGCACCTAACCAAACGTGGTTTATCACTAGAACTTTTATTGTTAAACCTTTCAGTTTTTTCTTTTGAGAATCTGCTAGGGACTCCACCTTTTCTATCCTGAGGCTTTCTCCTATTTTTGAGAGCCTTTTGAAATTTCTTCACAAAATAAGCAATTTCATCATCCCTTAGAGACTCAGTATCGGAAGATTCATCCTCTATGATGGATTTTAAAGCAATGGACTTTCCTTTCTTAGGTTGTGTGATAGTGAGTTCATAAGTTTGCAAGGATCCTACAAGTTCTTCAATTTTAACTTCATCTAGATCCTTACTTTCCTCAATGACAGTAACTTTAGGCCTAATCTCTCGGGCAAGGACCTAAGTACTTTTCTAAAAATTTTAGACTCGGGAATTTTCTCGCCTAAATTGAAACTAGAATTAACAATATCATTCAATTTTGCATAAAATTCATCAAAGGTTTCGTCATCTTTCATCTTCACTTCTTCAAACCCAGAAGTTAGCATTTGTAATTTCGAGTTCTTTACCGTTTTAGTTCCCTCATGTGTAGTTTCAAGAATATCTCACACCTCTTTAGCAGTTTCGCACATTGACACTCTCCTAAACTCTTCGGGAGACACGGCCATAAACAAGGCATGAAGTCCCTTGCTATTCCAATTACACTCATCTATCTCATCCTTAGTCCACGGTGATATATCAGTAAGGTTAACAGTTCTTGATACGATAGTGGAGGGAGGTTTCCAGCCATTTTGTACACTCAACCAAACATGCTCATCTAAGGACTTAAGAAACGCACGCATTCTAACCTTCCAATAAGCATAATTACTTCCGTCAAAGTACGGAGGTACAGAAAGTGATTGACTCATCTAGACAACTATGGGTCAGGACTCAAGATTTGGCTCTGATACCACTTGAAAAGGTTATAGTTCGACCCAACCAACACCTAGAGGGGGGTGAATAGGTGTCTATGCGGAATTTAACAATTTAATTAAGTTATGCAACAAGTCACATAAATTAAACGTTGTCCAGATTCATTCACATGATTTAACTACTTATGTTGAATTGCCGGTTGAATTGAAATTGACAGAAAGCAATAAATAGCACAAAAATTGTTGATGGAGGAAACCCAACTGGGTAAAAACTCCGGGCACAAGCCAGTAGGGGTTCACTATAGAAGACTCCAACTTATAGTACGCCAGACATGACTGTATCTAACAACACTCTGACCTCCTTACTGTATCAACCAAAGCTCTCCTAGATTCCGCAGATCTGCGCCAAAATCCTAGCCTTGTATTTCTTCTATTTCCCGTGAATCAACAAGAACTCCAGTTCTTCAATCAATCTCCTTCCCGGATCTTCAATCAACTAATCTTCTGGAAGTAGTGAGGATTTTTTATAGGTGTTTTGTTTGAAAAGGTGTTTGATATTTTTTTTTTCTTCAATGAATCATATGGTGAAGAGTTTTGCAATTGATCCTTTGGTAGAGAGGAAAATATTGTGCTATGTGTTTTGCCAAAGGTCGTTAATGAAAAGCGAAATTTTTGTTTATATAGTAGGTCGTTTTTGGTAGTATAGAACGTTTAAAATTCATGAGGAAGGAAAATTACCAAACGCCGGATGACACTGTCGCTCGAGCGAAGTGCCGGCGAAACTCTAGCGACGCTGGTTCTGTTATTTAGGCTCGAGCGAGGTCAGGGCGAAACTCTAACACCAATCTTGCGCCGTTTTCATCTTCAAAGCATCCAACTTTACCCTAGACCTATACATTAATTATTGCGAAATTGCAACACAAGTCCCTGAACTTTTATACATTGACAAATTGGTCTTTGACTTTACAAACTCGACAAATTAGTCCTTTTAGTCACAGATTGCCAATTACAACATTTTCCTAACACCTTTAACTTAGACGCTGGAACATAACATCCAAACATAAGCATTAGCTCAAAAAATTATTTCAAATGTAATAAATCACTTCATACATAATTACCTCACTATATATCGTCCACTTTAACACTCCAATATTTTTTATCCTTGTCGGCGAAGCAAATGCATGAATATCTTCTAAAAGTTTATCCAGAGCATGCCCGAGGCAACAATTAGAAAATATTCTATAGTTACTTTTTAATTGAACACAACCAACAGCACTATATCAAATTTCCTCTGATAATCTAATAAAGTAATATCAGAAAATGTGTGCTTCAAAAAAATAAAAAATAAAAAAAATCGGCTATTGGAAGAAAGTAGTGCAGGAATATGATCTTGCTCTAAAATAAACTTTAAACACAAGTCTGAGTTCGTCAAAATTAATTAATGTGGATCACCTCAAGAACTTATTCCCCGCTTGGGGCCGATGTCATCCTTAGAAAAGTACCATTGTGCAATTGTTCCACTTATCATAATAAACTTGAGCTTCCAACAAAGCAGTGGCGGACCATTGTATAAAGTTATTTTAAAGTTAAGTTCTAAGCTAAAACGACCTAATAAAGAATTAAATGGTTGGGCTTATGGCATCTAATGTGGGACTGATTATATGTACAAAGTTATTACGAGAACCCCTATTAAGGTATGTTTTGTATTATTAATTTTCTTGATAATTTAACATGGAGGATCTTGGCAATAAATGACAATTTCTAAAGTTTCTAATTTTATAAAGTTCAAAGTTTCAACAAGTGGTATCAGAGTTAGGTTACATGTTAAACCAATGGGATTAAAAGAAGAATTTTGTGGGTGAGATTCATATATTGAGTTTTGGAATCTTTTAATTTGGAATATGAATTTTAGCCATAAATTTTGAAAATCAATTTTTTTTTAAATTGAAAAATTTTAGGGTTGAAAGTTATAATTTGGATTTTCCAATTTAGAATATTAATTTTAACCCTAAAATTCAAAAATTCAAATTTTTTGAGTTTTTTTTTTTGAAAATTCTGGTTTCAAAATGACAGTCGCAGTGCGTCTTGGTGTCATGGTGCCCAATGGCTACCGTAAGGTAACGCTACTAGCGCTGCAACTCTATGTGTGTGTATATATAAATTTCCTTTTGGTCACAAAAGAGAAAAATAAAAATTAAAAATTAAATATCAAGGGGCAATCAATTTCAAAATTTTTGTATTTAATATTTTTTTCGAATTACTAATTTTCTAAAATAGATTAGTCTAAACAACATGTTATGAAAGTAACCTCTCTTGCCTAAATTAATTTATTTGGAATATTATGAAGGTTATATACACGTAATTAATGTGGATATTCACCGACCCTAAGAAATGTCAATATTTGGCAAAATTATTTGCACACATATGGTAATAAATATGTGACAATTGTTAAGTTTTCCATTATGTGAATTTGGAGTTAGTCCAAAAATAGACTAGATATTTGACTGGATTTATTGTCAACATTTGATTACTAGAATGGCACTTACAAATTGATATTTTTGTTCAAAGACTAAGTATCAATGTTATGCTCGGTTTCTTGTGATGGGGCCCACTAATATTTGAAATTATTGATTGTCCAATACAGATTCTCATGTGAATATGTTAATTAGGTTTGGGTTTTCTATTCAATTAATCTATTTATTTCTGCAATAGCTGTCAGCATCAATTCAATTCCTGTGTTTGAACAAAAATTAAAAGATGGAAAAGAGAACGTTTCTATCGTTTTTGGTGGCATGGATTTAGACCTTACATTAAAGACTGAACAATTTACTACTCTTATGGATAAGAGTTCCGATGATAGAATGGGACTAGAATAAGTGAGATTGTTCAAACTCTACAAGTCTTATGATCATAAAGTGTAAAATTTCAGCAACATTCAAGGGCGCTATGTCCAATAACGTAACTACCAATGAATTTCTTAAAGATATATGTCAAAACGCTTTGCGAAAAATGATAAGGTCGAAACTAATACACTTATGCAAACTTGGTTTCATTAAAGTATGAAGCTAGAGAAAATATATGGAGTACATCATGATTGTGTCTCATCTTACTTCAAATCCAACGACATTAAAGTTTGAGCAGTTTGATGACTTGCTCGTGCATATGGTTTTGAATTTTCTTCCTGCACAATTTGGTTAATTTATGGTCAATTTAGAGTTTGAGCTCATTTCATATTGTGTGTAAGAATACGGGAGTCTAAAGCAAGAGAGAACTGAAAATACTCACTTATCAAGTGTTGAGAATTTACTTAAACATGCACAGCGAAAATAAACAGTTTTAATTCCCACCAGGATTCATCTTTGTATTTAAAGAACTGTGATGAGAAATTTTCCCGTTTAATGAATTTTGCAAACTCTTTTGCGTTATTTTTGTTCCAACAACTTGATTTTTTCAACACTACCAATACATTTAACTTTTCAAACAAAGTCGTGTTAATTTTAGTCCACTCATTTTTCTAACTTTTCTATTTGGGACCGTTCAAGTAAGTGGAGCTTCTCTATGTCCATAGAAGACATGCCTTAATTACTCAAGTCCTCGTACCCCTAATTTTATCCTCACTTGGTGGCACCTTCACTTGTTAATGTATACCCTCAATCTTTGAATCGTATAATCTAATTTGGCTATGGATTTATCTTTGCTATATCAATATTTTCTTAATTGGTCGAGCAAGTCCTACAGAACTTGCTTTTAACTTGACAAGTACCTTTAAATCGCTTACAATACTTCTCAATTTCGTCAACCTACTCTGATTCTATGCATTACAATCTCTTTCGAGTTCTTTTTCCAATAATATGATTCATGGG